TCTATTTCTCTTGATTGGTGAGTTGAGGCCATTGACATTGCTGGTTATAACTGATATGTACTGACTTATTATTGACATGTTATTGGCCTTTTGTTGACTCTTTTTACTTTTTCACCTTCTCCTTTTAATTTCTTGCCTTGCCTATTTGATTTGCTCTGTTGGGCCTCATGGTGTTGTTGCCTTCATTGTCTTTTTCTAGGATCTTGTTTAGAATTGCTTGTAGTGCTGGTTTGGTATTCATGTAGTTTCTCAGGTGTTCTTTGTCGTGGAAGTGTCTTATTTCCCCCTCCATTTTGAAAGAGAATTTTGCTGGATGCATCAGTCTAGGTTGGAGGTTGTTCTCTTTTACTACTTGAACTATCTCATTCCAGGCTCTCCTTGCCTCAAGGGTTTGTGTTGACAAGTCTGCTGTGATTCTGATGGGCTTTCCTTTGTATGTGATTTGTTTCTTTTCTCTTACTGCTTGTAGTATTTTGTTCTTCTTTTGGGTTTCTGGGATCTTGATTATTATATGTCTAGGTGTAGATTTTTTTGATTGTAGCTAGTTGGGGTCCTATATGCCTCACTTATCTGATTGTCAATTTCTTCCCCTCTGTTTGGGAAGTTTTCTGTCATTAATTCTGCAAACAGCTTTTTTAAGTCATTTATATTTTCTCCGGCTACTTCATGTATTCCTATCAGTCTTATGTTATTCTTCTTTGCAGCATCTAGGAGTTGTTGGATCGATTTCTCATGATCTCTTACTGTTTTTAAGAGACCTCTCTTTTCCTGGTCACTGACTGCAATCTTATCTTCTATAGCTGAGAGCCTATTTTTGCATTCTTTTATTCTGTTGTGTACACTTTCAATAGGGTGTTTAATCTCCTGGATATCTGAATCTGTTTTATGGATTCCATTTCTTTCCTAGGTTGGACATTTATTTTTTCCATTTCTTCCTTATGCTGGGCCTTCATGGCTTCTATCATGGTCCTGAGCTCATCTATTTTTCTGTCAGTTTCTGCTCTAGAGTCTCGAATCACGACTTCCATTTTGCTCACTATCTCTATGGTTATCTGGGAAATTATTTCTGTTTTGAATTTTTCTAGAGCCGGACTGATCTGTTTTGTTACTTCTTGTGCTTTGAGTTCAGGGTGTCCTGGTGGCTCACTATTGGCCTTTTCATCCTCATTTGCCCTACTGTTTGCCATTGGTGGACTGGAAATCTGTCCTTGTGTCTTGCTTAAGTGTTTTCTCATTTTAATTTTTGTTGTTGGACTGTCCTTGGTTTAATCTCTGGATTATCACCCAAATCTTCCTGATATAGTTAGTTGTACCCTAGCTTCTGTGTCTCTAACGACCCACGGACATTCTCATCTTCATAACATCAGAGAAAACAGCTCATCAAATCAATGGCAATGCTTTACCCCAACTGATACAATCAATGACACATTAAAATCAAGCACAACTTGGACACTGACCACCTGTGGTAGTCACTAGTCTATCACCCTTAAATCATTTGAATTAAATTGAAATCAAGAAGAAGTCCAGAACATGTCTGCAGTGAACAAACTTTTCAACATAGTATATTAACCATTTAATGGCTCAGACAGAGCGAGGATGCAAGACCCCTGATCTCAGTTAGCTGATTGCTGAACCCCATGACGCTGACTGACCTTGGGCTGCAAGGCCCAATTGAGTTCCCCATCCTTCTGAATGGTTGAACTCTGCAATGTTCTATTACAGGTTTCCACCGTCCTTTTTTAAAGATGTTCAAAGTTGGGAACTCAGAAAAATACTCTTGATGACCACCTCTGTCTTTGCAGAGTGGGTCCAAAGACTTGCACAGTCAGGAGGCCTGAGAGTGCGGGGTGAGGGCTTATGGGGGTTCAGGGACGCCCGCACAGCTACCTTCCCAGTGCTTGAGCGATGGCTGCTAGATCAGGAGCAGGTGTGGTTCTCCTTCCCGCGGTGGATCCGGCCAGCCTACCTCCCGGTGCTTGAGCGATGGCTGCTGGGTCGGGAGCAGGCGTGGTTCTCCTTCCCGTGGTGGATCGAGCCCGGCCTACCTCCCGGCGCTTGAGCGATCATTCAGAACATTTTGGAGTGCTGGTTTGGTGGTTATGAATTTATTCAGGTGTTCTTTGTCATGGTAGTGTCTTATTTCTCCATCAATTTTGAAAGATATTTTGTGGGATACTTCAGTCTGGGTTGCTGGTTGTTTTCTTTCAGCACTTGAAATACTTCACTCCGAGCTTTCCTTGACTTGATTATGTTGAGATATCTGCTGTGATTCTGATGGGCTTTTCTTTATAGGTGGTTTTTTTCTTTTCTCTAACAGCTTTTAATATCCTGTTCTTGGGTTGAATTCTAGAATCTTGACATTATATGCTTTGGTGTAGCTTTTTAAATTATGACTAATTGGAGCTCTATATGCCTCATTTGTCTGTATGTCAAATTCTTTTTCTATGTGTGGGAAGTTTTCTGCCAATACTTCTGTGAACAGATTTTTTTTATGTCATTTGCGGTATCTCCTGCTTTTTCATTGACAGTGATCAATCTTGTTATTCTTTGCATCATCTAGCAGCTGTTGGGTTGGCTTTTTGTGATCCATTTCTGTTTTTAAGAGATCTTTCTTTTGGTGGTAACCACAATCCTGTCTTCTATATCTGATATTCTATCCTCACATTGGCTCATTCTGCTGCATATACATTCAATGGAAGTTTTAATCTGCTGGATATCTATTTGAATCTGTTTATGGATTCCATTTCTTTCCTACATTGGGCATTCATGATTTCCATCATTTTCCTAAACTCTATTTTTTTCTCTCTATCTGTTCTAGTCACTGCTCATATCTTTCATCATGGTCAGCATCTCTGTAGTTATCTGAGAAACTATTTCTGATTTGATATTTTTATACATCCTCTTTCATTTGCTTTGTTACTTCAGTTGTTACCACTTCAGGGAGTCCAGGTGGGTGGGTTTCAAAATTTTCCACTTCATTGCCCCCTGAGTTTGCCTTTGGTTAACTGGAAATTTGGGATTGCAGCTTAAGTGTTCTATTGTTTTTTTTCTTTCTTTCTTTCTTTCTTTCTTTCTTTCTTTCTTTCTTTCTTTCTTTCTTTCCTCTCTCTCTCTCTCTCTCTCTCTCTCTCTCTCTCTCTATCTCTCTCTCTCTCTCTCTCTCTCTCTTTCTTTCTCTTTCTTCCTTGCTGTTTTTTTTTTTTTTAATACCAGGGATTGAACTTATAACCTTGGTCTTGTCAGGCAGGATCAGTCACTAGTGCATTTCTTTGTGGAGGTCTCTGGAGTTGCCAGTAATCACTGTGCATCTGCAGGTTTAAGCCACACTTCCCACCCCATATATCCAAACTCAGGGAGAAAGCACTGCTTGCCATCTCCCTCTTCACTGAAGTCTCTCTCTCCTTGCTCTCCCTGTGGGCTTCAATTCTCAATTTAGATACTGGTTGGGTTTCAGGGATCCACTTCTCTCCTTCCCTTTCTCATGCTGCTATGTTCCAAATCTCAGAAAGGCTGTTTCTCTACTGTTCAGCATTCCATCATCTTCCCACAAGGATAATTCCTTCTCAATTTATTAATTTTATATTTTAGCTTTCTGTTACTATAAACAAAATACTTGAAATGATCAATTTAAAAGGAGCAAGGGTTTATTTTGGCTCATGGTTTTAAGAGTTTTCGGCACACCGTCACTTGGTAATGTTACACATCCTGGCTGGGACTGGCAAGTGGTGGAGCAAACTGCTGACTTCATGGCAGCTGGGAAGCAAAAAGAGAAAGAGGAGGACGTAGGTCCCAGCATCACCTTTAAGGACCTTCACCCTATGGCCAAAAGCTTTCAACTAGGCCTCATTGCTTAAATTCCCACTACCTCCCTGTATCACCAAGCTGGGCAGCAAGTGTCTCGTACATAGGCCTTTGGAACATTCCAGATTCAAGCTATGGTAATATGTATTGCATGTAGGTCTTTAATCCTACATTTTGCCATTTTTCTAGGAGTTTGGTGCGAGTCCAGTGTTATTTCTCTACACAGTGAGTCAGTTTTCCCAAAGCCACTGAGTACACCCTCCCTGACTTACCCATTGATGTAAACTGTCTCCTTTGGTGAGTGTCAGATCCCACATACAAACAAGTCTGTCCTTCAGCCTACCTACTGCTTCATTCTTTTTATGCCTATGGTTTTGGTAATAACTGAAAGTACAAGTTCTCTTTCCTCATTTCTACTTCTTTTAAAAGTTGATGGACTTTTAAAAATATAAATTATAAAATAAGTTTATGAAGTTCCTTAGATGATTTACATGGGGTTGCTTTGAATTTATAAATTTGGAGACAATCAACATTTTATGAGCTGAATTTTTTTATGCAAGAGCTATATATTTTTAAAGTTCTACTGTTTATTCTGGTACAAAGCCAGGGTTAAATGTATGAAAATCTGCAAACCTCTGCCATTGCTTTTGGTCAAATCTTTGTTGCAAAATAGAACAAGAAAAAAAAAATAGAACAGAAATCTACTCACAACGGCTCACGCTAAAAAAGGGTGCCTACTGAGGGAAGACGGTGTGTGGAGGGCCTCTTAGATAGGAGTATGCTCAGCTGGCCTCCAGCTGAGGCTGACCTGTCAGAGACTGCGTCTTCCTGCCATGCTTTGGTGCATTCAGGTGCTTTGCTTTTCTGCTCCATTCTCCTGGCACTAACCATCACTACTTCAGCCTGTATGTGGCTCAGTTAAGTACTGGTGGACCTGATATGCTGAGTCTGTACCAGCTGTGGGGTTCTTTGGGCTTCCAGGCATTGCTCATTCATCCTGATCCTCCCTCAAGGTTCCAGAGTTACTAACTCAGCAGTCTGAGCCTCTTTTCCCTTTTTTTTTTTTTTTTTTCAGAATGGAAAGCAGCCCAACAGTATGCAGGTAACTGAAGCTGAGGAACTGTGACTTTGTTGGCTGGGTTTGGCTGAATCTTTTTTTGGCGGGGTTGGTTTTTTTGAGACAAAGTCTCACTATGTGGTCCAGCTAGTTCTTGAACTCACTATGTAGCCCAGGCTGGCCTCCAACTTGTGGCAATACACCTGCCTCAGCCTTCTGAGTGCTGGGATTACATGTGTAGCATACCAGCTTTGCCTGGATTTTAAATAGAAGGCATAGGGAACCATCTGACATTAGATAAAGGGTCTTTTCTGTGAGCCAGGTACAGGGTCTGACCACAGACAGAGAAGCATGCTTGCATACACAACATGACACACCCATGTGTATACACGTTGTACTCCTGCAACATGCACACTTACAGCACATACACACACTCCCGCCCCTCCCATTGCTTAGTGGGTTTTATTAGGTTCATTCTCTGATGCTTCCTGGGCCTGTTTGCAGGAGAAAATGTGGAGTATGAAAGGAAATTCTTGCATCATCAATTTATAGAAGGGATCTTAGGGTCGGAGAGAGGACAGGACACTGTACTAGATCACCTTCCAGGTCCCTTTTAGTCTTGAGAGTCCTAAGGTTGCTGTAAAGCCAAAAGCTCACATGAGGACCTCTGGGTCACACAGGGTAGAAGGACCAGCTGGGAACAGAACTGTACCTTAGCTCCTTCCCCTGCCCAAGACGTGTCTCCATCCCCCACAAACCTAGCTCCTTCACTGTTCCTTCTCACCCTGGGGCCAAGCATGGAACTCACAGACCTTCCAGTTTGAGAAAAGAGCAACAGTACCCATCAGTTTCGTATGCCCCAGGGTGCCTTACCCGCCGTTTTGGGTGCCAGGTGAAAGGGAGCAAGGGCTGTGTTAGGCTGGGCAGGGTGATAATTCCACTGATTGTTCTACCAAGGAGAAACATCTGTGGGTGGTGAACAGGAGGGTCCCAGACCCATTCTCACCTTGCTAACCCCGTGCTTCTGCATAGTGAATGTGACCTTGGATCCGGATACAGCCCACCCTAGCCTGGAGATCTCCGAGGATGGCAAGAGGGTGTCCTCCCGCCCAGGGCCACCGACCCCAGTAGCCAGCTATCCGCGGCTTTCTGAGCATAAGTGCGTGCTGGGCCGGGAGCGATTCTCCTCTGGCCGCCACTACTGGGAGGTGCACGTGGGTCGCCGCAGCCGCTGGTTCCTGGGAGTATGCCTGGCGGCAGCGCCACACTCAGAGCCCACATGCCTCAGCCCAGCGGGTGGCTACTGGGTGCTGGGGCTGTGGAATTGCGAGTACTTCGCGCTGGACCCGCACCGCGTGGCACTCACCCTGCGCGTGCCTCCCAGGCGCATCGGCCTCCTGCTTGACTTTGAGGCGGGAACACTGTCCTTCTTCAACGTGTCAGATGGCTCCCACATCTTCACTTTCAGCGACAGCTTCTCAGGGACTCTCTGTGCGTATTTCAGGCCCAGAGCCCAGGATGGCAGTGAACACCCGGATCCGCTGATGATCTGCTCATTGCCAATTAAAGATACGTGCACCCTTGAAGAAAACAGCCCTTGAAGCTCTCAGACCCCACCCAGGTCCTGCAGTAGGCCTCTCCTGGACCTGGGACTGGGTCCTGGGAAAGTTATTGGACACCCTGACTGTCCTGCTGCCCTTGGAGCCAACAGATGTTCTGACCAGAATGTCACCAAAGCCTAAACGCTCAGCCTAACCGAAAGAGGGCAGAGTACCTATGTACATGTAATTTTTTTAAGGGAAAGAGGCAATTCCAAAGCACATTTATGTATACTGTAGGATACAGCAAATAAGTAAAAGTATATTGATTGATGTTGGGGTACAGAAGTGGGAAATGAGAAACTGGAATCCAGAAAACAGGGAAGAAACATGATTGGATTAAATTAGAAGTATCAGTTAATTTGTATAGTTTCATGCTTTTTGTATGTATCTACCAGCTTTGCAAAAGTTTAGAAGTAATAGCATCTCACAAACAATGAGTTCATCATTGTTTGTGATCCTACTTTTAAATACTATTTCCTACTAAAATGAAATTGGAGGAATGATTCCCAAGCTGGGGTATAGGAAGTATAAAGCATATACCATCTTGTGCTATAAAGTAAGACAAAACAAAACTGCTCAGAAACTATGGGCAGAAAGTCTTAAATTCAGGAGATCTAGTGTACACCATGGTGACTATAGTTGATAGCAATGTGTTGTACACTTCAAAATCACTGAAAGTAGATTTTAAATGTTTTACCACAAACAAGTATGAAGCAGTCCATATATTTCTTAGCTGATTAGGCCATTCTACAATGTCTGCATATATCAAAACATCATGTACATCACAAATATATACTTGTTAATCAAATAAAATAATTAAATAAATATATTTACATGCTTTAAAAATAAGTGCCAGGGCCAGGGATTTAGCTCAGTGGTTCGGTGGCCTGCCTTGCAAGCACAAGGACCCGAATTCAATCCCCAGTACAAAAAAGAAAAAAAATGTGCCAATTTGCAGGACCTTTACTAACCAATTATGGGATGGCTTGAACATCAAAATCAGGGCTTGGGCCAGGGATTTAGCTCAATGGTGTCACACCTGCCTGGCAAGCACAAGGCCCTGAGTTCAATCCCTAGTACCAGAGGGGAAAGAAAGTCAAGAATTATAACTTACTGAATAAGAACAATCAATGAGCTCATGCTAACACTTTAATTTATTTTCTTTAAAGGAGAAATGGAAAGGCTTTTTTGAAAGAGATGAAATATATCTAAAAGAGGTAAAAGAAAAGATAGGAATAGAAAAATTACCAATTTACAATGCTATGGTAAATTGGTCTAGACAAAAGTCACCATTGGAAGCCTTTTGGAGAGCAGGGTATTTCCACTTTTAAAGTAGCAATCTTGCTCAATTCCTATAAATGTATAGGGAAAAGGTTAACTTTGTGGCAGTAATCTACCAGATTAACCAAGTGATTAAATTGACTGTCACTAACAAGACATTGATTTTTATAATTGAGGACAATGAAATAGGAACTACATATTCAACTATTGTGTGAATGTTACTTTTCCAAGTGAGACATTTGCACTGCTTATGCAGGAGAATGTTCTTGTTTTTAGAAAATAGGCTGAAGTATTTACTGACTCTCAAATGAAAGTGGACATATATATCGATATATAAAAGGAAAGCAAAAGTGGCAAAATAACACTTGGATAACTCAGGGAAATACTGTACAGATGTCCATTTCACTACTCACAAAGATTGGCTATAATTTTGAAATTTTCCAAATTAAAAGAATTGGTAGGAGGGAGAAGGATGTACCAAAAAGTTAACTGATTTTCTATGGATGGCAAAATGGTGATTGACAATCTTTATTTCTTTTCTGTATTTTTGTATGTTTAGTAATGTACATGCATCAGTTCTGTAAGCAAAAAAGGACTTTTTTGTAAAGAAAGCTCATCTCCAAAATTACTCATGTAAAACAAACAATCGTAAAGTTGTTTACACAATCTCCTGTGATAATCATTTCAGAGAAAAGAATATGACTTGTTGCCTTTTCCCCTTAATCTAGTTTGAATGAGGGGCTGGGTTAAGGAAGGGAGGAGTAATCAGCTGAGCACACCACATGGTCTTCCCTTTTCTTTTCCCCGACATGAAGACTGAGATTTCCATCAGTGCCCCAGCACCAGGGATGGGAATGGAGTGGAGGCTGGCATGACGGGCTGAGATTTTGGCCTAGAAGTTTGGTTACACAGAGGAAAGGCTGAACAAATAAGAAAACACACTAAGGGTGCTGGGAGGTTTCTCAATCAGTGAAGGGAAAAAAGAAAATATAAAAAAGGAAAAGGCGAGAGTGGTAGAGGGCCAGGGATTTAGCTCAGTGGTGCTGCACCTGCCCCACAAGCACAAGGTCCTGAGTTGAATCTCTGGTACAAAAGAGATAGAAAGAGCGAAAGGAGGGGGGAGGGAGAGGGACAGAGGAGAGAGAGAGACTCTCAGGTGCATTGGAATTAGAAAAATCAATGTGTACATATGAGTTTTACTATGTATACATAGATGGAACTCATACACACGTTGCATTGATCAGCTTTACCACTGATGAGGTGAAGTACCTGACACCTACAACTTAAAGGGGGTTATTTTGGCTCAGTTTCAGAGGTTCCAGTCCATGGTTCCAAGAAAGGAACATCGTGGCAAAAAGGCATTGTGGAGGAAAGCTACTCATTTCATTGCATTCAAGAAGCAGACCACAGGCAAAGGGCATTAGTGAAAGATACGCACTCAAAGGCATGCTACCAATTAACCACCTCCTCCTGGGCCCCACCTCTTAACAGCACATTCAGGTAGGAACATCCACTGATGACTACAGTGCCCCTAATCACCTCTCCAAGACTCTTAATCCAGTTATGTTAACAATTTAGAGTCACTGGCACATATTGGCAGGTAAGTAGATGATAAATAACACACACACACACACACACACACACACACACACACACATATGGTTCTGCTCTGTTGCTTTGAGGGCTTTGAAACAATAGGAATTCAGTAGTAATGAGCCCATATAGCACTCAGAATTTGTTTTTTAGTACTATTTTCCACTAAAACTAACTCTCTTTGAAGGAAGGAGGCAGGAAATCCAAGGAAGAGACAAGGAAATTAACATTATGGATCTAAAACATCTTGTGTCAAAAAGTAAGGAAGTGCTCAAAAAATAGTGAGACATCAACTGGACAGAAAAGACACCTCTAAGGGATTTCCATTGACCAAATTTGAAGATCAAAATAATTTATAGACATTACAAATTGTAATGCTTTGAGTTAAATAGGAAACTGTAAGTATGTATATCTCTACTGATGTGCATACTAAATAGATACATGAAGATGAAGAGAAAGCTTTGTCTTACATTAAGAGTCTTCTAGGTATAGTGTCACATGCCTATAACACCAGAATTCTGGGTGGCTATGGCAGGAGGATCATGAATTTGAGCCCAGCCTGGGCAATAAAGAGAGACCCTGCCCCAAAAGTAAATAAATAAATAAACAAATAGGCAGATAAATGGGCTACGGATGTATCTCAGTGTGAATGTCCTGGGTCTAGTCCCCAATACTGCAAGATAGAGAGGGAGGGAGAGGGAGAGTACTTCAAAACTACTAATCATTTAGTTATCAATTTGTGTGTATAAAACATCAATTATATTTATGGTAGTGGAATCTGGCTGACATTTTATCTAAGTGACAAAAGTTAACATCACCAGATAAGAACTAATTTACACGATGTGCCTCCCAATTCAGTGCAATGAAAAGAACACAACAGCATCCCTTTTGAGGTATTCCAGACCCAGAATGAGTAAATTATGTGAAAACATCAGACTAGTTGATGTTGAGGTCATCAATGGCAAGCCAAATGTCTTCATTACTATCTCATTGCTGAGACAAAATAGCTGTCACCCACAGCTTAAAGAATTTTGTTTTTTATTCATGGTTTGTGGAGTTCCAGTCAGTAGTCATTCGGCTCCTAGGTAGTCTGGCATGACAGAGGAGCATGATGGATGAAAAGCTACTTACTTCTTAAAGACCAAGAAGAAGAGAGCAAACGGAAGAGATAAGGTGCAGGGTAAACCCTTCCAAGCCATACCCTGAGGGACCCACCTCTCCTAACCAGACCCTACTTCATAAAGGCAATCCAGCTATAAATGCCCGTAATCCAGTCACTTGCCCAGAGCCATTCCTTTCAGCACATAAGGCTCTTGGGGGAATCTATATGTTAACCACAAGAAGACCAGGGCATAGTATATTGAAGAAAACTAAATCATGACAGTAAAATTCAATAGGTCATGCTGGATGGGATCATGGGCCCATAAAAGATATTTTGGGGGAAAGAAAGGAGCAATTATTCCGTTTGACCCAGTCATCCCTCTTCTGGGTATCTTTCCAAAAGAATTAAAAGTATCATATCACAGTGATGTATGTACACCCATGTTTATAGCGGCACAGTTTGTAATAGCTAAAACTTGGAAACAGCCCATTTGCCCATCCGTTGGAAACTGGATAAAGAAGATGTTGTTTTTCTATAAAATGGAATACTACTCAGCCACAAAGAATGAGAAATTAGATTCATTCATAGGAAATGGATACATATTGAGGATATACTCCTAAATGAAATAAATAAGTCACACATGTGCAAATACTGAATAGTTTCTCTGGTGTGAAAAACTATAATAGTACATAAGATCCTAATTAAATAACTGACATTGTGAAATAGGAAGAAAAGGACTAAAGGTGTGGGGAAAGTGGAAGGGGTAGGGGAAAGGTAATAAGGGAAAAGAAAAAAATATGAGAAAGTGAAAGAATGGAAATAAAGTGATTGCAAATGGGGAGGCGAGGAAGGGGTGAAGAGAGGGCAGGGACAAGGGGGGAAATGAGAACCAAGACCTGTCATGTAAAGGTACAAGATCCAAATAATGAATGTAACTGTACTGTATAGTTAAAGTATAAATGCTGTAGGTATGTTATGTGTAAATACTATGCCATTTTATATAAGGGGGTTGAGCACTTGCAGATGTGGGTGTCTGTGGGGATCCTGGAATCAATCCCCTGTACATACAGAGACAGCTGCAATCAGATCTTATTCTGGCTACAGAGTCTCTTCCTTCTTATGACTCTGGAGACATTGAGGTGCTTCAAAGCCATGTGGTACCTTCATCCAAATCCTATCACAGTCATTCCATATTTGAACCACTTACACAAATAATTCAGTTGCTTGTCTCCCAAGGTGCTTTGCCCCATCCTCATAACTCACATGTTTTATATGCGGGCTCAGCAGCATCTCCCACAGGCAGTAGTATTGGATAGGGCCACTGAACTCTACTCCAGAGGGCCCTGAGCTACTGCTGTGGACATTGACCAATCACAAATACAGCTGCTGTGATCCAGCTCCAGGAAACTGTCCCTTCTTCCTGCACACACTTCCATGAAACTATTAGGCCTTTGCTGATGGTGTCAGAAGGAAAAAGGAGAGTTGGTTCAGTGCTCACTAAATGACACCACTGGGAATCAAAGAGGATTTCTGTATCAGAAGTTTCCAGCCATAGAAACAGCTGGAAGCAACAGTAATTTAGCAGGTGAGGTTCCAGGACAGCTGAGATGAGGAAGTATCTAGGAATCAATCTAATGAAAGAAACAAAAGACTGAAAACTACAGCACTCTGAAAAAAGAGATCGAAGAGGACATAAAAAAACGGAAAGATATCCCCTGCTCCTGGGTAGGGAGAATCAACATAGTGAAAATGGCCATACTATCAAAATTGCCAAACAGATTCAATGCAATGCCTATTGAAATTCCAACAGTATATTTCACAGAACTAGAAAGAAGAATCC